AAAAAAAAAAAAAAAAAAAAAAAAAATTCACTTAAGGGCTGGGAAGGTGGCTCAATGGTAGAGTGCTTGCCTTGCATGCATGAGGTCCTGGGTTCTATTCTTCAGCACCACATAAGCAGAAAAAGCCAGAAGTGGCGCTGTGGCTCAAGTGGTGGAGGGCTAATTTTGAGCTGAAGAGCTGAGGGACAGTGCCCAGGCCCAGAGTTCAGGCCCACAACCGACAACCCCCCCTGCCCCCCAAAAAAAGAAAATTCACTTAAGGGCTGGGAAGGTGGCTCAGTGGTACAGTGCCTGCCTTGCATGCATGAGGCCCTGGGTTCGATTCCTCAGCACCACATAAGCAGAAAAAGCCAGAAGTGGCACTGTGGCTCAAGTGGTAGAGTACTAGCTTTGAGCTGAAGAGCTCAGGGACAGCGACCAAGCCCAGAGTTCAAGCCCCTTGACTGACAAAAAAAAAAGGAAAGTTCACTTAAGAGAAGGAAACCTGTATGTTACTGCTTTTTTCTGCCTTACATTTTCTTTCTCCACATTTCTTCCTACTAATTGGTATTGCTGTCAAGATCAGATAAGCAACGTACCATCAGAATCCACAGGATCTTCTACTTCTTCTGTGTAATTTACTTCTGTCCTCACATAAGTATGACGAAGAGTAAAGAAATAGAATATGGAGTCTGCTTTACATAATTCTACAAGGGAGTGTGATATATTCCAATATTAGGGGTACACACCAAAAGGGGTACACACATGAATGTGAAACCCAGGCTTGATTCCCAATTAGAGGTGGCAGTGGGTCCCTCAAGCTTTCAGGAAAGGATATAAAGCAGCACTTTCGGTGAGTGTGTTCCAAACAATAGGCAGAATCTGCTGCATGGAGGACACCATGTGCTTGGGGAAGTTTTTTACCAGGGCTGTCACTGCCTGAGAAGTGAAGACAGGAGAAGTCAATATTCCACACTACCCGCTCAAACGCCAATCTACTGGTATGAGTGTTTACCTTTAGAACCTCCATTTTAAAGCCACTGTCACATGTGGGGCCATCCGGCATCTGGAGAGCCTGGACAAAGGCCTCTGTGAACTGTTGTACCACGGGGAAGATCAGGACTTTTGCTGCTCCCTGGAATAAAAAGCACGATCAATGCTGGACGAACCTCTAGCCATAGCTCCACATACATACCAAACACAGAGATTTGAGCCACTTAAGGTCGTTCTCAGATTCAGGTTCCAATCAGGAGACACAGTAATAAAGTCAAAGAGGTGTTGCTCAAGATTTCATTCTCAATTATCACTTGCAGCTCCTCACCCCAGCCCTCTTAAAAACTACGGTTGCACATCATTTCTTTTTTTAAATTTTAAATAACTCAGGGTTAACACTGTCCAAAAGGAGAAATGAACTGGTTACCTGACTTATGAAACAGTAACTTCTCTGCACAACACCTTAATAATAAAATTATATTAAAATTATATAGTTATATATTAACAATATATAAAATTATATTAAAAAATAGTAACTGCTTGTGAATTCCAGAGTTCAGTATTTCAGTTTTCTTTCTTTCACATAAAAAGTCACAGAAAGACAGAAAGGTTTTAAGGGATATCTAGTATGAAAAGACACAGGAAAACATGTTTGAAAAAAATCAGACTTAGGAGGAAACTAAGTTATATACAATGTATAAGTTAACAAATCAATCAAAATTTATGTCAATCTATAGCACTGATCAGGCTGCTTTTTTTTTTTT